TGTTTTTCACTTAGATCCCAGGCTTGAGATATATAGCAATAAAAAACATGAGTCACAGCTTTGTATAACACTGTGCCCCTGCCTACAATTAAGTGGTACTATAGTAACGCTGCCATTTCTTAGAAATATATAGTTTTGCTTTCCTACCTGTTCTAAAGTAAATAACTTGAAAGGCAATTGAATAAAAGCCCCTTTGGCTTTAATGTGACCTATTTATAGTAGACATGCAAAAAATTGTTGTGTTAAGATTTCCAGGGACCCACCTTGGAACTTTGTGCTGCATAGATGCAGAACTGATTTCCAAAACAGATTTTTTTAAACCTTTACTCTAAAAGGTGGGCTTGAGGAAGAAATCTAAGCAGAATCCTTATAGTCTGTAGTTCTTATGAGGGTCATACACCCTTAACGATTTTCTTTGAAGTTTAAATAAATGAAAGTTTTCCTATAGCAGAAAGTTGGTGGAATATATTTAGCAACTTCACCCATTTTGCTTCTAATTAGCAAAAGTTTATGCAGTGTCAAAATTATCAATAGCACTGTATGCTTTTAATTTTTTTTCTACACGAATCTATACATGAAGGTAACCTCACTGAATTTGGTGAAGTTTTTCTGTTAGGTTATGCAGGACTGGGGGCTATGTTTTAAATTCAGATCTAGTTTTAATTTCTTGTTTTCTAATGAGGAATAGAAAGAGTGGTTGAAACTGTAACACTAATCCTTGCCTCCAAGATTTAAAGACTCTTTAAAAGGTAATTTTAAGTAATTCAAAAAGACTAAATCATCTTGGGATCAGGTAGGGCTCAACATTGTTCATTTGACTTTTCCAGCCTCATATCCTTCAGGTATTGGAACAGGCATCTGGGGTTAAAAAACCAAAATAGCTGAAGGGCAACTTGTTGAAAATGGCTGTCATATGGCACAGGATATGATGCACCTTTGCCTTGGCATGTTTCCCTCCCAGGACCTGATACCTGGCATACATCTTACCCATTAGCCAAAGGGAACAACCAGTCACCTGTTGCAATTCTTAGCAAAGATGCCTTCAAAGACCCTGCTCTTTTGCCTTGGTTTACCGGCTACGATCCAGGTGCAGCTAAGAACATAAGAAACACCGGGAAAACATTGCGGATTACATTTGATGATACTTTTGATCGTTCAGGTAAGTTTACTTTGGCAAATGTTTGCAAATGTACTTGTAAGCCTAAAGTAATCAGGGTTAAGCCTACAAAATCCTTGTTGTGAAATGATCTTCTAAGGAAGGCTTCATCTCCCTGAACACAGGAACAGCTGGGGGGAGATGAGTGATTTGTTGCGTATTGTGCTGGTTGGATTATTTACTTTCCTCTGCCCCTCGGAATATTCTCCCAATTTCGAGAGATATGCCATCCATGTCAACAACCAATTTACAGAAAGTCTGCAATCATTTTGAAACTCAATGCTTTTCAGCAAAGTTGGGATTTTGTTACTATTTTGCTCTTCAGTCTTTATTCTGTTGTAGAATGATAGGTGCAATCCTCCTGGTTTTGCATCCCAATCTGATCACATGAAGGGTAGATCATGCTGGAAAGTATTTGTCAGTCATGTAATTTAAGAGTTGAAGTGCATTAAAAGGATGCCGTGGCTCAGTGGCTAAGACACTGAGCTTGTCAATCAGAAAGGTCAACAGTTTGGAGGTTCGAATCCCCAGTGCTGCTTAACGGAGTGAACTCCCGTTACTTGTCCCAGCGTCTGCCAACCTAGCAGTTCGAAAGCATGTAAAAATGCAAGTAGAAAAACAGGAACCAACTTTGGTGGGAAGGCCACCAAAGCGTTTTGTGTGACTTTGGTGTTGAGTCATGCTGGCCACATGACCACAGAGATGTNCATTGAGTGCAACTTCTGAGATATTGGAACACTGCTATCATGTCACTCGAGTCCTTCTTTTCATTAAACTAGACATACCTAGTTTCAGCAACCATTCTTTATATGTTTGAGCCTCCAGTCTCCTAATCATCTTTGTTGCTATGAATCCCCAGTTGTCATCAAGTTTTAACCAGGACCTTTTAACTATGAACAATTTCAATATATCCTTGCACCAGTGGGATTGTAACTCTAGTAGTGAAAATGCAGTTTTAAGACAGTGAATGACAGTACTTAGTGACTTGTATTTAAAAAGGTAGCCACAACTATTTTTAGAAGTGCTTTTATTATGTGAAGACTTAGCTCTCTATAAAAGATCATAATGATGAGAAAAGTGAAAGGAAAGACAAGGGGGAAAAAATGACCAGCAGAATGGTTTCCATATACCAAATCTCAAAGCTATGATGAAATAGAAAGATTTGAACTGCATAAACCTCATATCAACTGGTGATTTTCTATAAAAATGCACAGATATGGAATGTTATATGGCATCTAGGCAAGATAATATGAAAAAAAAAATCTAGGTTCTAGCGTTCTATGCCAACAAATTTTAAAAAGCTTTTGTGAGAATTTTCATAATTGTAACTTCCAATGATGTACTTGTAAAAATGGCTATAGGAAAATCATTGTGTAATGTAATTGAGAAGATGTTTTATAAATAAACTGTTGTGTATCTCAGTAGTAACTTCGGAAAATACTACTAAATTGAATCTTGGTACTTTGCCCCAAACCATCAGATCACTTCACCTAACAGCCTCATGTAGACGTTTAACCATGCTTCCTGTCATAGTGGAATGCACTATTGTGAAGTGACACTCTGCTGTGCTTTCTGGCTGCAAACTACCACCAAAATCTTGGCATCCTCCGATCAAAACACAGCACAACATGCTTTCAAATATACTGAAAGTCATGTTATAGGTGAAATGCCACCAAATTTTGTTCCCTGTCTCATATTTTGCAGAATCAACATCTGTGATTAAAGATTCAGTTTTTGCAGATGTGTTCTGTAGCTAAGTTCAGGGGTGGGTTCCAGCAGGCATTACTGCCGGTTCGCTCATGTGCGTGGCCAGCATGCATGTGTATGCACAGTACAATTAAAATTGTTCTGTGCATGTGGAGAACTGAAAAACAAGATGGCACCACTGTCAGCGCCGCCTAAAGGACCGGTTCAGGGGCATGGCAGGCCTGGGTCACTGCCAGTTCCAGAAACCCAAACTGCCAAACCACTACAGGTTTGGCAAACCAGCCCGAACCGGTAGGAACCCACTACTGGCTAAGTTACCCCTGCCATTTCTTATTTCTGCATGAAACACAGCAAGAGTTTGAAGCCATAGCTTTCTACATCGATATTTGTAAAGACACAAGTGGCACAATGTTTCATCGATTCATTGATTTAGCAAACAATAATTTTAAAAAAAAGCTTTGACACATATTGCTTTGTTTCTAACCAGGCAAATAATTTTTAAAGAAATATTTGAATGCAGGATACAGTTGCAATCTTATTGATCATGGGCAATTGCCCGAAGGCAAAAAAAAAATGCTGATTGGATTTCTCCTCAAAATCAGAAAGGAAGTACTCAGCTTAGGGAGCAAAATCCTTCATTCCTTTCAGCCTTTAAAGGTTTCCCTACACTGAAAATGTCAATGTTACAAAGAAAAGAGATGTAGGAAGGATTGGGGTTTGAATTTCAGGAATGGCTGTGAATTAGAGATACCTTATCTGGGTGACTAAAATCTGTATTGCCAGCACAGAAATAGACAAGTATAGAAAACTCTCCTTGCTGCCATCTAGTGTTAGGTCTGATTTTTACAGCTGTGTTAGCCTTTCTCATCTCCATTTTGCTTGCTTCCCCCATAGAAAATTAAATTAACAGTTTAGCTGGGATAAATAGCATCATTTCCTATGCTTCACTTAACTTTATATAGGGTACTACATATTTATCATATTCAGCTGTTATGCTATATGTCTGGAATTATTCTCAAGGAGTGTTTATTTCCTCTTAAATTAAAACGTGTCAGTCTAATATTTCCTTGGGGACTAGTGTGTTACCATCTCCTGAATAGGCAACATAGTGCTAAAGTATACTATGCTCATTGTGCTTGCATTCCTTTTCCAAAGTGTCTACATGCTTTAATATTGTGAGATACCAAGCCATTAATCCCATTTTCTCCTATTCTCAATTAAAATCCCTCTAGGAGATTAAATACACTAGAAAATATTTTACATCTTTCCAACAATGATTAATTTGCTGTTATGCGTGCATCTTTCTCTGAACCCATTCCCATTTGGCCTAAATAGCTGAGGCTGCTTTTAGATTTTGTGGTACGCTAATTCCACAGATTTCAGTTATGTTCCAGAGAATCCCACAGATCTTTGCACATTTATCAATATTCATGTAGTTTGCAGCCACAATAGCTCTAGATACCTAGGAGAATGAATGAATAAAGAACTCTCACTAGGATTCCATAGGATTCATTCAGTGGTGAGTTTCTACCAGTCCGGACCGGTTTGGATGAACTGTAAGCTCTAAGTGCAAGCCACAAGCGAGCCGGTTCTCTGTTTCTGTGAAAGTGGGCCCGCCTGCCCACCCCTGAGTTATACCAACCTTTATTTCTGCTTCTGAAGCCCGGAAGTTCACTGAAGATCCATGGTGGCAGATTGAATTGCTGCCCCTCATCTGTTTTCCTTGCTCCTTTCCTTGTTTGCAATGCGGAAGTTCAATTTTTGCTAAACTGTGCAGGTACACACAGCGCACATCTGGCATGCACATGAGTGAAGCGAACCGATTGTTCAGCTGGTAGGAACCCACCCCTGGATTCATTGGGACATATCTCAAGACTTTTTATGAGATAGAGGAGTTCCTTAGCTGGCATGCAGGATTGCTATTGAATTCACTTAAAAGCAATTGTCATATTCATTAACTTCTTATCATGGGACTTCAACCAAAAAAGGACACAAAAACAAGCAAAAGCCGTACCAATTTTCAACATATTCAGTTTGTGAAGCCAAGCCATAGCACTAGAATCGTGGTTTCATCATGACCCACAACTCCTGACTCTGAATTCCTGAATTCGAACACTGACATAGAAAGTTAGTCAACAAGCTCACAAGTTGTTGTAGTAGTAGTTATTACTTTGAGATAAGAGAGAAGGCGGAGGCAATGGCAGATCACTTCTGAAATCTTGCCAAGATACCTGCAGGTACTTCTTCAGGCAGTTGCTAGGTATCAACACTGACTTAAAGGTGGGCGCATAGATTGTCAATTCCCAACTGGAGCAAGATAGGACATTAAAGCTGCTGCTTGTCCCAAATCTTGTAAGGAAAATGTTGGACACATAGGATGGCTTATAAGTTGCTAAGAAAATTGGGCAGTCTTATGTGTTTTGTACTTCCAAGAAAAAAATAAACAAATGTCGTTCTACTGGCGCTTTCAACCTTTCTGGCAGCTTTACATCAAACTGCCCCATTTATCAGCCTATGTTTATTTCTTGCCCCAAATCTTCGAATGTATATAAAATGCTACCACTTCCCAGGATGTTACAACCAAGGCCTACAACCCCATTTATTCCTTGTGCTATCCTACCTTCCCTAACTTGTAGGCCTTACCAGCAGCAGTAAAATACAGCACAGAGGACTGTATCCAAGTCATACCAATTTAATATTATCATTTCTTTTCTTTAGTACTATCTGGCCAGACTTGGGACTGTTCCATAGAAAGCAGATACTCCAGTACCAAACCATATATTTCCCTTTAACAGAAATTATCAGGATTAGCAAAATTGCTTCACTGCAAAATTTTGTGGATGGAGGTTGTAAAGCAATCACATTTATTTGATTAAGCAAAAATCACAATGATTTTGTGGTTCTTCAAGACTAGCAACATCTCAATATCAATTATCAATATCCGCAGGATCAATAACAATAGCAACATCAGCAGGAATTTCAGCGACTTCATCTTATATGGTACTTTCAGTAGCGACCTTTACTTTTTCTACTCTATGACTTTAGTTGTTTTTCATTATTTGATCATTCACCTTAGGTCAGCATGTCAAGGTCAGCAGAATCAGAAGATCATCTGATGCCAAGAATGAATTGCCAATCTTTGGGAATTTCAGTGGAGACACACCTCAAGGTTATAAAAGCAAATGGCTTAAGGCAGATTTTCATTCCTGCAGGGTTTTTTTTTTTTGAGCCACACTATGCCAGAGTTCATAAAAGCATATTGTGTAACTCAAGCTTTCATATTTGGAATAGGCTTC